AAATAAACCTAGCCGCATGATTTCTAGTTCGCATACATGCTCAAAAAAATAAACCTAACCGCATGATTTCTAGTTCGCATACATTTATTCAAAAAACAAAATTAAATGACTCAAAAAGCTTTTCCTTGTGTTCCCTCCTCACGGGACTCTTAAGGTTTAGGTTAGGCTCGACCTAAATTTGGGCTCTATGTTCACTATATGCTGAGTTCGGTTCTAAAATAATAGGTTCTCGAATTTTCCTTGCTGGTGCCCTCTTGGGCTGCCGAACCCTCAATCCTGGCCCATCACAAGCTTTAGGGGATTAAGTTCAATTTCGAGGGAACACACCTCCTTATGTCCATGCGGAGGTGAATACCATCACGAGGACCATAAGGCATGAGCTCCAGGAGCGATCCACTATCCCATGCGGAGGTGAAAACCACACGAGGGCATAGTCTCTCACTCCTACTTAAATAGGACGGAGCGGGGTTTTAGCTCATGTTATGATAATGCAACTGTGCAGTGTGTGAGGAAAAGCGAAAAAACACATAATAAAAGAACTCAAAAATCAATTATCAATTCACAAATAATCTGAAACCATTAGCAAATAGATCAGTACAACTATTTAATTGTTAATCGAATTAAATCAAAATACAAACAAAACTTATTAAAAACCAAACAAGGGATAAAAAACCAAATTAAAACAAATTTATAACTTTCAATTGCAAAGACATTTAATTAATCGGCTATCGGCCTGACTCTCTAAACAAAAGTCCCCAGCGGAGTCGCCAAGCTGTCGAAACGATTTTTTCTTAAAGGTGAAAAGGTGATATTTTAAAAACCACATTAATTTTTAATTTACCTCTTTCAACTGATTTTTAATTTAAAAACAAATGCGATTTAAAAACCTCTCGTTTCGAAAAATTTTGGATTTCCTTTACGATCGAAAAAAAAATACAGTTCAAAGAGTCGCCACCAATCTTTGATTAGGGTGTGATTGGGCACCCAAAATTGTTTGTTATTTTAAATAAAAATTAATTTTTATTAAAACAACAAATTAAGGTCTGCGTTACCAAAATCCGAGTTCGGGAGTCGGTTACTTGCAGGGAAGGATTAGCACCCCCACAACGCCCTAAAACGGTACCTAGTCGATTAATTAACGTCTTTGCAATGAACTTTACAAATTCGAATTTATTTTGATTTTTGATCCCATAAAATAAAAATGTAAATTTAAAACATTCAAAAGCGCTCAAATAAATTAAATTAAAATTACCGAGTCATTTTAGAAAGATAAAGAATGTTCGATTATTTACAAATATCGAGACCAGATCTTAAAAGATATAACAACCTTTTCTCGATAAATTTAAATAACCGAACATTTCTTTTTCTTCCATTCCCAAATTTTAGGTGAAGAATCGATTTTTAGGTTTCACTTTCGGGATACACTTTTAACTTAAAATGGTCATAAGGGCCCTCTAATCAGTTAAGACAGGCCACTCAAGACAATTTTAAATTAAAAGGGTATTACCCTTAGTCCGATTATGTAATAGGTCGAGTTATGCACGTGAATGTATCATACAAATTGTGCAAAAAATGGATGACATGCCAAAATTAATTATACAAAATTAAAAATATCACACAACGTGACATACAAAAAAAATTACGTATATTTTAATTAAAGATCGTAAACCATGCATATTAACTTATAATATACAAATGTGGCTCAAATATAAAAACAAAAACATAAAATGCAACGTTAAATTTGACCTATATAATGATAAAAAGAAACCGTGCATATATGCACATATAAACTATAATGGTCTCGAATGTAAATGTAAAACATGGTAAATCAAAATACAATTAACTTAGACTAATCATATTTAATAAACTATAGACTAAACTAAAAGAAATCTAAGTTCAATGACTAAATCTAAAAAATAAAATAGTCTAAACTAGGATTAAGATATTTAATGGTCAAAAGAAAAATATTACAAAAGAAAGAACCTTAGACAAGCAAATAACCCAACAAGAATGGCAGTACATTTGTGTTTTACTAAGCGTGGTTTAAGCTTTTAAAAAGAAAAAGAATAAACCTAAAGCAACAGTATGTTAACTCCTCTCTCGGCCATTTACTCTTTCTCGCCTCTATCCTTTTATTATTTGAGAGAAACAAAACAAAAACCCAAAATTATTCATGACCATCATCTCTTTTGAACTCTGATGAAGAGCTTACCACCTTCAAACACCCTCCTTTAACCTTCATAAAGCATGGAACGAGAACTTAAATCACATATATCCCTCCTAATCACGAACCCAAAAATAAAGCTCGCTAAATCGACCTCTAGAAGACAAAAAACAGTCCCTATGCCTCTCGAAACCAAACCACCATCGCTCCCCTCTAGACACTCTGACTCGCACTTCGCCGGTGACCTACGACAAGGAATCAACAAGACCCTCTTTGCATTCTAACAGCCCAAGTAAATCCCTAAATTATTCTATTATTATTTATTTCGAATGAAAACCTAAAGTTATGATTCATAAGAAACTTTTTAGACATGTAAAATGTAATTTATTTACTGATTTATTCAACAACAAAAAAACATAAAAATTGAAAATTGGCGAAGGAAATGCTAATGTACATAATGATAAAGAAAATAAACCTTGGAAGAATTTGCTTTGAATTGCCTTGGTTCGTTGAAACGAGTGAATTCTGTTTCTTTTGATCTCCAAAATAGAAGTAAAATCCAGTACAATGCTCTTTCTGTTTTTCTATTTTCTGAAAAGGTAAACAAAAATGGAGGTCCTTTTTTTCCCTTCTCTTGTGTAAAAAATAAAAAATGCCAAAGACCCCCCCCCCCACAATTTCCAGTAGTTAATCCCTTAAACTGACCTCTTTCCTCCACTTTACTTTGGTTAACTCCCGATAACCGCCTTTTTAATTGTTTAGGATTTCACGTGGACTGGGCTTGATCATTGGATTGGGCCTCCAACTGCTCTGCTTCGGGTCTGCTCCGACTTAGCCCCGGACAAAAACGAGCATCTACATTACTGAGCTTTTCAAAGCTCACTCTATTACTCACATTTTCAAGTTAAAAGAATTGTATCAGTGTAGCTATCGACTTCAGTAAGGGAGTTCTTCTGGCGTTGCAGAGTATGGTACATGTGATTAGGGGGCATGTAATTGTATTTTGATTTATATACGAGTCTGGAAATCTGTTTTATTTTTAAATAGTGACAACTGATTTTATAAGTTACACGTTTCAATAAAAGTTTTAAATTTTCCGCTATTTTTACAGTGGGTCACTCCGGTGGCCCTAATGTGACACCCCGGATCTGATCGGGTTACCCGCATCGGTCTGTGGGGGTTACAGATATAATTATGAGCAAGGTTGACACTTATAATAATCTTATCGATGTAAAGACTAAGTTATCTCGTGTAATCAAGTTTGGACTAGGGGTGTAAACGAGCCGAGTCGAGCTCGAGTATTGCTGAGCTCGACTCGACTCGAAAACTTTGAAATGAAGCTCGACTCGACTCGAAAACTAGCGAGCTTAAAATTTTCAAGCTCGACTCGAACTCAAAATCCTAAACTGAAGCTCGTGAGCAGCTCGAAAAGGCTCGAAATGAAAAAAAATTATTAAACTTAACTCGATTGAAGCCTCAAACTCAAACTCGAACATGAACCTTAAATACAAGAAATCTTACTATATTTTTTTTTATAAAAAATCAATACATAAATATTAATATTATTAATAATTTATTTCTAAAAAATAAAATCTTAATATATTATATTTTCGAGCTGCTCACGAGCTTTTCGAGTTGATTATCGAGTAGCTCGTTTCCATTCGATCCGAGTATTTATCGAGCTTTGATCGAGTCAATCTCGAGTAGCTCGCGATATGTCTCGTCTCATTTATAGCCCTAGTTTGGACAAAGCTTGAATTACTTGACAATCATTATTGAATGATACCCCTTTAAGGGGTTTCATAAAAGAAATGGAGAATATATGTTCTCAAGATAACTTATTCGTCGAGGTGAAGAATTGATTTTTTTAATTCAAAGTATTTCATTGAATTTGATATTTTATCTTAAATTCATCTCACTTTTAGAATATGCAATAAGATGGAGATTATTAAAGATTAATCCGAATTTGATCTACTTAGTTCGAAGCAGGGTTTTAAATCACAGTCGTATTTTCGGTCATTTCGGGTTTATCGTGGTTGCAGTCATTGCGGGAGCTATTACGGCCATCGCGGGCGCTATTGCGGGTAACTTGGACGGCGGCAAAATCGCTATTTCACAGGCGTTGTCACATTTTCAGACTGTGATTTGAAACCCTGGTTCGAAGTAAAGAGATTATTCTATTTTATGTTAAAAAATGAAGATGGTGTGACTATGGATAGGGGTTTGCAAACGAGATATAGATGGCAGGGTGAAGATTATAATAATGGATTCGTTCAATCTTTACATGAGGCTGTTAGGGGTTTTTTAGCTATCAATCGTAACAATTAAAAGTTGAATGACAAAAGTCTGAAGAAATGAAACAAAAAGGACATGTGCTATAGTTTATCCTTTAAATAATGGGGACAAGCATTAGGGATGGCAATGGATCGGGTCGGGTCGGGTTTTTGGGCCACCCGACCTGATCCGAGAAGAAAGGGTTTTTCACCCGTGACCCGACCCGACCCGACGAAATTAAGGTTTCACTCGACCCGACCCGACCTGAATATATGACTTAGAAACCCAACCCGACCCGAAATAATAAAAAAAAAAATTTTATTCAATGAAAACAGTGACTTAATTGAAAAAAATTATATATTGAGGGACATTATTGTAATTATCCATAAATATATATGATAAAATTATATATATTTTTCGAGTCGGGTCGGGTCGAATTTTTTTCACCCTAAACCCGACCCGACCCGAACCCGAAATTTTTTTAAAAAAATCCGATCCGATCGAGTCGAATCAGATCGAAACCCGTCAGATTCGGGTTGAGTTGCCATCTCTAACCGTACATTTCAACCCTTGTTTTTTTTTGGCCTTATAATTTCTGTCTCAATGATCATTTCCCCGAAAACCTAAACTTTTATTTTTCTGAGAAAACGGTCCAAAGAAAAGAGGCTATTCCGAGTTTCTTTTTCTACCGGTGGCGCGTATACTGCACCCGCCACAATGGGCCAATCTCCTGCCGCCGCTTTAAACAGGGAAAACTCCTTCAGCGATCGCTTTGGCTTTTTTTCTTCTTCTGGTTTTGTTTGCAGGGACGTATTTTCCGATGAGTTCATGGAGAATCAGGATTACACCGCTGGGATTCCCGACAAGTGTTTAGCTTATGTTTTTCAATTCCTTGGACCTGGCGATCGGAACCGTTGTTCGCTCGTCTGCAAGCGGTGGCTGTGCGTTGACGGTTGGAGCCGCCACCGTTTGTCTCTCAACGCCCAATCCGAGATCTTCTTCTCTTCGCCTTCTCTCTTTACGCGCTTCGATTCCGTAACGAAGCTCACTCTGCGTTGTAGCCGTAAATCGGTCAGCTTAAACGATGACGCTTTGGTGATGATCTCAATCCGTTGCCGAAACCTCGAACGGTTAAAGCCCCGCGGCTGCCGCGAAATCAGCAATGAAGGAATGTTGGCTTTTGCTCAGAATTCTAAGAATCCGAGGAAGCTTTCTTGCGGGTCTTGTATGTTCGGCGCCAAAGCTTTAAACGCCGTCCTTGATTATTGCACGAATTTAGAAGAGTTGTCGGTGAAAAGGCTCAGAGGGATCCACGACGGAGCTGAGGCGATCAGGCCAGGAGCGGCGGCTTCTTCACTGAAAACGATTTGCTTGAAAGAGCTTGTTAACGGTCAGTCGTTTGAACCGCTTGTTGTTGGAGCTAAAAACCTTAAATCTTTGAAAATTATTCATTGTTTGGGTGATTGGGACAGAATCCTTCAATTACTTGGGAATCAAGATCGATACCGAAAAGAAAATCTATATGTTAATAACAATGAAAGCAATGGTAACAGTAATCCTTTGATGGAAATTCACCTTGAGAGGCTTCAAGTAAGTGATATAGGCCTATCTGCTATTTCCAAATGCACCAAAATTGAGAATTTGCATATTCCGGACTGTTCGAATTATGGGCTTGTTTGTATAGCTGAGCATTGTAAGTTGTTAAAGAAGCTTCATGTTGATGGATGGAGAACTAATAGAATTGGAGACGAGGGCTTGGCGGCTGTAGCCAAACACTGTCTTAATTTAGAAGAACTCGTTTTGGTTGGTGTTAATGCTACTTATTTAAGCTTGGAAGCCATTGCTTCTAATTGCTCGAAACTCGAGAGATTAGCACTTTGCGGAAGCGGGACTATCGGTAATACTGAGATTGCATACTTTGCAGCCAAATGTAAGGCTTTGAAGAAACTTTGCATCAAGGGATGTCCTATATCGGATATTGCCATTGAAGCCCTGGGCTCTGGTTGTCCCAGTTTGATGAAAATTAAGTTGAGGAAATGTAGAGGAGTGAGTTGCGAGGCCGGCGAATGGTTGCGCGATCAAAGGGAATCACTAGTGATCAATATGGATGCTTGTGAGGTAGATGGTGGTTTCGAGGCTAGTGTCAGCAACGGTGGAATTCTTGAAGTCGGGTTGGATTATCTGCAGGTGGTTGGCCAAGTAACCGGCGGAGATGCTTCGACGAGCAGCAATGGCAGGTTAGCATTGTTAAGGTCCAAGTTTGGGGTTTTTGCTAATAGGAATTTAGTGGCATGCACATTTAGAAGGTGGTCTAACGGTGATGATAGTTTCAGTAGCAACTTGTGAATGATCTTTTAAAGAGTTGGAAACAATACTCTTTTCTCTGATCATAATGCAACCTTGTAAGTTTGTGAGATGAATCATTTTTTAATGCATTATGTGTATTGTATCTCCCCTTTCTTTTCTGAAATTGGAAATTTTTTTTAGCAGTGTGTATTGTATTTTATCCCCACTTTTAAATGCTACTTTGCCGTAGAGATTTCAAGAATGTTATATGTATGAAAATGAACGAAAAATAGTACTAATAAATTGGGAATATGAAGTCAACTACCAATTGATGTCCCGGAAGATGGCACGGTAGGTCCTTTAACAAGGTATTATAATGTTCTAAATGGAATAATTTTTTTTATTAATTTGAGGTAATTACAAGGTAATATTAATTTTCTTAGTTAATTGATAACAAACTTATACACATCTTGTTAGGCCTGTAAACGAATCGAACCAACACGATTGATAGTATGTTCATGTTCGTTTGCTTAACTTCAACTGAACAAACGAATGAACAGGACTAACTAAACGAATAAAATTTCTTGTTCGTGTTCGTTTGTTAAGGAATATAATTTGTTCGTGTCCGTTCGTTAAAATGAAAACATAAAATTAATTGAGTTTATATTTGAGAAGAATTTTATTATTTCTAAAGAATTTTAGGGTTTATATTTTCTTTAATTGATTTGGATGTTTTTTAAGGCGTGTTTGGTTCAAGGATGGGAATCCCACATTCCCATGTTCAGTTAGCCGGGAATCTCATTCCCGGTAATATTTTATTACCAATAGTAGATTTTTTGGGGTGTATTACCAGGAATGTCATTACCTCACTTCCCTTAGGTATTGTAACATTACCAGCGTTTTTGACTAAAATGCCCTTAAATTTTTATTTTTTTTTCAAAATATCATTCTTCTGTCATTGAATAATAAAAATTCTACGAATGTTAAATTACAAATTTATCCTTCAATTATTTTAGATTTACAAAAAAATATATATAATTAAAATTTTATATGAAGTTCAGGGGTTAAAATTTTTTTTACCCTTTCATTAAACCTTTTTTATATTTTTAATTTTGTAAAAAAATTATATAAATATTATGAATTTAATTTTTTAAAGAAAATATATAAATATTTTACAACTTGTAATATTATACAAATATATAATAAGGACAATTTGGTTAAATATACATTCTAATAATCTTTTATTCCTTTAACCAAACACGGTAATCTTACATTCCTGCTAAACCAACCAAACACAAAATACAACATTCCCAGCAATCCTATTCCCTGGTAATCTTTTATTCCCACTTGTAATCTTACATTTTGTGAACCAAACGCACCCTTGGAGTTTAAAATTAATTGGGTTTAAAAATATTAATGGGTTTAAAGCTAAAATTTATCATGTCTTAATATTTTAAATAGGTCTAGAGATTGGGTTGAATATGAACGACAGAACATAAACGAACGAACATAAAAGAACAGACTATCGAACGTTCACGAACGTAAATGAAAGAACAAACATTTTGTTCTTTCATTCATTCAATCAAACGAACATAAAATATTGTTCATATTTGTTTAAACAAATATAAATGAACTTCTCGCCGAATGATTCACGAACTTTTCGTTGAACATTCGGTTTGTTTACAAACATCCATCATTTAAATATAATTGTTCGAATCTAGAACTTTTAGGCCATATAACCGCCTTTAGATCGGATGGATTTCATTCTTACCCAACTTTACAGAGACCTCAATTGCTAAAGTATGATACAGTTTAGTTATGCTAAATACTTACCAAAACCCTAAAGAGTCTCTACTAATATAATTCCAGTGAGTTCAATGCACAAGTAGATAAAACAGGATAGTCTAAGGAAAATTTATTTGATAAAAGTCTGTTATTTTTGGTTGAGGGACCTTATTTAGGGTTTAAGGTATATATGATTTAAAATGTAAGGTCTAAGTTTAGAATTTAGAATTTAGAATTTTATGAATTAAGGTTTATGATTTAGAATTAAAATATACAAGTCGTGTAGCCTATGTATTAAACAACCACCCTAGGATAGTTTATATGTTTTAATTTTATTAAATTAAGTATCTATATTATATTTTAGTTTAAAATTTTACTCTCCTTTAATTTCTATCTTTAATCGTCATTTGGCAGTTGTAAAAAGAGAAAAATATTCTCTTAGTTACTTTTATTTATTTATTTATCTATCTATCAATTTGGTCCTTAAAATGATTTAAAAAATATTCTCTATTTATTTATTTATCAATTTAATCTCTATTATTTATTTATTTAAGCTTCATCAGTGCATTTGCAGACATTATGAAGTCAAATGTACAATCAGAGAATGGAAAGTTCAACCTCAAACTCCTACATAACGAAGTTTGTTTGTACTTTGCTAACTAAATGTTCGCCGTAAACAGCTTTTTCGAGCTTCCGAGTTCCGCCACTCTTCTGTACACAGACTTCCAAAGGTTCCACTGCTGCATCGTAATTTGGCTGTGTAACACCCCCAACCCGTATTCGATCCGGATACGAATTTGAGGTGTCACATTGACCAGTCAAAGCATGTTCTTTTATAAAAACCATAGAAAATTTAAAATTTCTTTTCTATAAAGTTAATATTTTACATAAACAAGTTTAAAACATTATCAAACTCCATCAGTGCGTTCATTCATAATAACTTGGTTTACATGCCAACATACTAATTTACTAACAGAACATACTTTACAAATATTTCTGATCTGAACTTTGAGCGGAGATATGCTGCTCTACTGATTCGAAGCTTGATCTTCTGACTTATCTACACCTACGTGTAAGACACTTACACACTAAGTCATAGACTTAGTGAGACGTGAAAACCATGTAATATTACTCTACTCATGTCAATGCATAAACAATTAATATTATCATATCATATAAAAAGCATATATCATTTCATATGACCAATACACACATATACATATATTATTAACATGCTTATCATTACTATTTTATTATCATTAATTCCTTTTTATCATATAATCATATACTTAACATAAACATATTATATAATCTCTAAATCACCTCAATCCATGAATAATTACTATGATCATATCATACACAAACACATTGCATCTCATATCACAATTATACATATGCACTTATTATCCTATGATCCTAACTTATCACTTATACATGTCATATATCACATATACCATTTCATGAGAAACACACATATCATCATATCAAATTATTTATTCTTTTTAAAGCCCATGCACACTTCTGAGAACTTAAGGTATGTGAGTACAATATAGGTTGTGCACTATGCTGTCACCACATCTCGTATAATTCCTACTAGGGGCATGTAGAATGTCCCGTAGGACCACTATCTCCTGAAGGACCACTTATAACACATATCACATATGTCGGGAAGGACCACGTAGAACCCTCGACTCTTGGCATGCCAACTATACCCCTAGCTCTCATACATATAACATGGACATTATAATTATATTATCACATTTTCACATATTCATATCATATACACATATAAACTCAAGGCTTCTTATCACATATATCATGTAATACTCACTTGGAGTTTCATATCTTCTTATCACCTATCACATAGCTTTTTACTTTTACTTGTATTCTTTTCCACATATTTCATAGTCATGATTCTTATATCATAACGTATATTCACAAATATACATGTTCTCATACAACCCCTTCATTCAATTATAACATTTAATCTAGCTTATTACACTAACATGTATTCACATCACTCATTTAATATACATAGCATATCATGTACATTCTAATAAAAGCACATATGAGTCATATCACTTTCACATATATTTTATCCTATATCTTATCTATTATTATCACATAACCTATTAACACACACATACATGCATTTACATAGTTCACATATAAAGATGCATTCAACAATTAGACATATGCGTTTACTCATATACAATACATCTATCACCATATCATTACATGTTTATGCTTCAATACTCATATCACATAATATCGAAATTAGACTCATCGCAAGTCTTAATTCCCTAATATAACGTACACTTAATATCATGTACTCACCTGGTCACAATGAACACTACCAAGTTCTTGTTCTTTCTTGCGAATCTTACTCTGACGACTTATCCGAACTTTACTTTCGATCGATGTCTACACAATCATGTATTGATACTTATCAGTATCCAATTGATATACTTTAATCTATTATTCTTAGACTAAAAGAAATATCCATTTCTATTTTCCCCTTAGAAGTGTATCGATACACACTATATGTACCTTCGATATTTTGAGGGTATCGATACACTCCTCAATATACCGATACACGCTCATACTAATACACATGTTCAACTCATGAGGTATCGCTACACTCCTTAGTGTACCGATACACTAGGCCCTGAATGGCCATTTTCAACCCAAAAATTTAACACTTTACCCCTAAATTTTACTTGTTAAGACCTTCTTATGCCTTAAAACTTATCTATACATATTTAAACCTTCTTATAACCCTATAACACTTCACTAATTCTCATAACTAACCATAATTATCGAATCAAAGATTTTAATCAATTTCCATGTGTTCTAAATTCATTTCTATCACCTATAACTTCTTAATTATACCATTGACTTAGAAGAGTTGTCGGTGAAAAGGCTCAGAGGGATCCACGACGGAGCTGAGGCGATCAGGCCAGGAGCGGCGGCTTCTTCACTGAAAACGATTTGCTTGAAAGAGCTTGTTAACGGTCAGTCGTTTGAACCGCTTGTTGTTGGAGCTAAAAACCTTAAATCTTTGAAAATTATTCATTGTTTGGGTGATTGGGACAGAATCCTTCAATTACTTGGGAATCAAGATCGATACCGAAAAGAAAATCTATATGTTAATAACAATGAAAGCAATGGTAACAGTAATCCTTTGATGGAAATTCACCTGAGAGGCTTCAAGTAAGTGATATAGGCCTATCTGCTATTTCCAAATGCACCAAAATTGAGAATTTGCATATTCCGGACTGTTCGAATTATGGGCTTGTTTGTATAGCTGAGCATTGTAAGTTGTTAAAGAAGCTTCATGTTGATGGATGGAGAACTAATAGAATTGGAGACGAGGGCTTGGCGGCTGTAGCCAAACACTGTCTTAATTTAGAAGAACTCGTTTTGGTTGGTGTTAATGCTACTTATTTAAGCTTGGAAGCCATTGCTTCTAATTGCTCGAAACTCGAGAGATTAGCACTTTGCGGAAGCGGGACTATCGGTAATACTGAGATTGCATACTTTGCAGCCAAATGTAAGGCTTTGAAGAAACTTTGCATCAAGGGATGTCCTATATCGGATATTGCCATTGAAGCCCTGGGCTCTGGTTGTCCCAGTTTGATGAAAATTAAGTTGAGGAAATGTAGAGGAGTGAGTTGCGAGGCCGGCGAATGGTTGCGCGATCAAAGGGAATCACTAGTGATCAATATGGATGCTTGTGAGGTAGATGGTGGTTTCGAGGCTAGTGTCAGCAACGGTGGAATTCTTGAAGTCGGGTTGGATTATCTGCAGGTGGTTGGCCAAGTAACCGGCGGAGATGCTTCGACGAGCAGCAATGGCAGGTTAGCATTGTTAAGGTCCAAGTTTGGGGTTTTTGCTAATAGGAATTTAGTGGCATGCACATTTAGAAGGTGGTCTAACGGTGATGATAGTTTCAGTAGCAACTTGTGAATGATCTTTTAAAGAGTTGGAAACAATACTCTTTTCTCTGATCATAATGCAACCTTGTAAGTTTGTGAGATGAATCATTTTTTAATGCATTATGTGTATTGTATCTCCCCTTTCTTTTCTGAAATTGGAAATTTTTTTTAGCAGTGTGTATTGTATTTTATCCCCACTTTTAAATGCTACTTTGCCGTAGAGATTTCAAGAATGTTATATGTATGAAATGAACGAAAATAGTACTAATAAATTGGGAATATGAAGTCAACTACCAATTGATGTCCCGGAAGATGGCACGGTAGGTCCTTTAACAAGGTATTATAATGTTCTAAATGGAATAATTTTTTTTATTAATTTGAGGTAATTACAAGGTAATATTAATTTTCTTAGTTAATTGATAACAAACTTATACACATCTTGTTAGGCCTGTAAACGAATCGAACCAACACGATTGATAGTATGTTCATGTTCGTTTGCTTAACTTCAACTGAACAAACGAATGAACAGGACTAACTAAACGAATAAAATTTCTTGTTCGTGTTCGTTTGTTAAGGAATATAATTTGTTCGTGTCCGTTCGTTAAAATGAAAACATAAAATTAATTGAGTTTATATTTGAGAAGAATTTTATTATTTCTAAAGAATTTTAGGGTTTATATTTTCTTTAATTGATTTGGATGTTTTTTAAGGCGTGTTTGGTTCAAGGATGGGAATCCCACATTCCCATGTTCAGTTAGCCGGGAATCTCATTCCCGGTAATATTTTATTACCATAGTAGATTTTTTGGGGTGTATTACCAGGAATGTCATTACCTCACTTCCCTTAGGTATTGTAACATTACCAGCGTTTTTGACTAAAATGCCCTTAAATTTTTATTTTTTTTTCAAAATCATTCTTCTGTCATTGAATAATAAAAATTCTACGAATGTTAAATTACAAATTTATCCTTCAATTATTTTAGATTTACAAAAAATATATATAATTAAAATTTTATATGAAGTTCAGGGGTTAAAATTTTTTTACCCTTTCATTAAACCTTTTTTATTTTTAATTTTGTAAAAAAATTATATAAATATTATGAATTTAATTTTTTAAAGAAATATATAAATATTTACAACTTGTAATATTATACAAATATATAATAAGGACAATTTGGTTAAATACATTCTAATAATCTTTTATTCCTTTAACCAAACACGGTAATCTTACATTCCTGCTAAACCAACCAAACACAAAATACAACATTCCCAGCAATCCTATTCCCTGGTAATCTTTTATTCCCACTTGTAATCTTACATTTTGTGAACCAAACGCACCCTTGGAGTTTAAAATTAATTGGGTTTAAAAATATTAATGGGTTTAAAGCTAAAATTTATCATGTCTTAATATTTTAAATAGGTCTAGAGATTGGGTTGAATATGAACGACAGAACATAAACGAACGAACATAAAAGAACAGACTATCGAACGTTCACGAACGTAAATGAAAGAACAAACATTTTGTTCTTTCATTCATTCAATCAAACGAACATAAAATATTGTTCATATTTGTTTAAACAAATATAAATGAACTTCTCGCCGAATGATTCACGAACTTTTCGTTGAACATTCGGTTTGTTTACAAACATCCATCATTTAAATATAATTGTTCGAATCTAGAACTTTTAGGCCATATAACCGCCTTTAGATCGGATGGATTTCATTCTTACCCAACTTTACAGAGACCTCAATTGCTAAAGTATGATACAGTTTAGTTATGCTAAATACTTACCAAAACCCTAAAGAGTCTCTACTAATATAATTCCAGTGAGTTCAATGCACAAGTAGATAAAACAGGATAGTTCTAAGGAAAATTTATTTGATAAAAGTCTGTTTATTTTTGGTTGAGGGACCTTATTTAGGGTTTAAGGTATATATGATTTAAAATGTAAGGTCTAAGTTTAGAATTTAGAATTTAGAATTTTATGAATTAAGGTTTATGATTTAGAATTAAAATATACAAGTCGTGTAGCCTATGTATTAAACAACCACCCTAGGATAGTTTATATGTTTTAATTTTATTAAATTAAGTATCTATATTATATTTTAGTTTAAAATTTTACTCTCCTTTAATTTCTATCTTTAATCGTCATTTGGCAGTTGTAAAAAGAGAAAAATATTCTCTTAGTTACTTTTATTTATTTATTTATCTATCTATCAATTTGGTCCTTAAAAATGATTTAAAAAATATTCTCTATTTATTTATTTATCAATTTAATCTCTATTATTTATTTATTTAAGCTTCATCAGTGCATTTGCAGACATTATGAAGTCAAATGTACAATCAGAGAATGGAAAGTTCAACCTCAAACTCCTACATAACGAAGTTTGTTTGTACTTTGCTAACTAAATGTTCGCCGTAAACAGCTTTTTCGAGCTTCCGAGTTCCGCCACTCTTCTGTACACAGACTTCCAAGGTTCCACTGCTGCATCGTAATTTGGCTGTGTAACACCCCCAACCCGTATTCGATCCGGATACGAATTTGAGGTGTCACATTGACCAGTCAAAGCATGTTCTTTTATAAAAACCATAGAAAATTTAAAATTTCTTTTCTATAAAGTTAATATTTTACATAAACAAGTTTAAAACATTATCAAACTCCATCAGTGCGTTCATTCATAATAACTTGGTTTACATGCCAACATACTAATTTACTAACAGAACATACTTTACAAATATTTCTGATCTGAACTTTGAGCGGAGATATGTGCTCTACTGATTCGAAGCTTGATCTTCTGACTTATCTACACCTACGTGTAAGACACTTACACACTAAGTCATAGACTTAGTGAGACGTGAAAACCATGTAATATTACTCTACTCATGTCAATGCATAAACAATTATATTATCATATCATATAAAAGCATATATCATTTCATATGACCAATACACACATATACATATATTATTAACATGCTTATCATTACTATTTTATTATCATTAATTCCTTTTTATCATATAATCTATACTTAACATAAACATATTATATAATCTCTAAATCACCTCAATCCATGAATAATTACTATGATCATATCATACACAAACACATTGCATCTCATATCACAATTATACATATGCACTTATTATCCTATGATCCTAACTTATCACTTATACATGTCATATCACATATACCATTTCATGAGAACACACATATCATCATATCAAATTATTTATTCTTTTTAAAGCCCATGCACACTTCTGAGAACTTAAGGTATGTGAGTACATATAGGTTGTGCACTATGCTGTCACCACATCTCGTATAATTCCTACTAGGGGCATGTAGAATGTCCCGTAGGACCACTATCTCCTGAAGGACCACTTATAACACATATCACATATGTCGGGAAGGACCACGTAGAACCCTCGACTCTTGGCATGCCAACTATACCCCTAGCTCTCATACATATAACATGGACATTATAATTATATTATCACATTTTCACATATTCATATCATATACACATATAAACTCAAGGCTTCTTATCACATATATCATGTAATACTCACTTGGAGTTTCATATCTTCTTATCACCTATCACATAGCTTTTTACTTTTACTTGTATTCTTTTCCACATATTTCATAGTCATGATTCTTATATCATAACGTATATTCACAAATATACATGTTCTCATACAACCCCTTCATTCAATTATAACATTTAATCTAGCTTATTACACTAACATGTATTCACATCACTCATTTAATATACATAGCATATCATGTACATTCTAATAAAAGCACATATGAGTCATATCACTTTCACAATATTTTATCCTATATCTTATCTATTATTATCACAAACCTATTAACACATACATGCATTTACATAGTTCACATATAAAGATGCATTCAACAATTAGACATATGCGTTTACTCATATACAATACATCTATCACCATATCATTACATGTTTATGCTTCAATACTCATATCACATAATATCGAAATTAGACTCATCGCAAGTCTTAATTCCCTAATATAACGTACACTTAATATCATGTACTCACCTGGTCACAATGAACACTACCAAGTTCTTGTTCTTTCTTGCGAATCTTACTCTGACGACTTATCCGAACTTTACTTTCGATCGATGTCTACACAATCATGTATTGATACTTATCAGTATCCAATTGATATACTTTAATCTATTATTCTTAGACTAAAAGAAATATCCATTTCTATTTTCCCCTTAGAAGTGTATCGATACACACTATATGTACCTTCGATATTTTGAGGGTATCGATACACTCCTCAATATACCGATACACGCTCATACTAATACACATGTTCAACTCATGAGGTATCGCTACACTCCTTAGTGTACCGATACACTAGGCCCTGAATGGCCATTTTCAACCCAAAAATTTAACACTTACCCCTAAATTTTACTTGTTAAGACCTTCTTATGCCTTAAAACTTATCTATACATATTTAAACCTTCTTATAACCCTATAACACTTCACTAATTCTCATAACTAACCATAATTATCGAATCAAAGATTTTAATCAAATTTTCCATGTGTTCTAAATTCATTTCTATCACCTATAACTTCTTAATTATACCATTGACTTAGAAGAGTTGTCGGTGAAAAGGCTCAGAGGGATCCACGACGGAGCTGAGGCGATCAGGCCAGGAGCGGCGGCTTCTTCACTGAAAACGATTTGCTTGAAAGAGCTTGTTAACGGTCAGTCGTTTGAACCGCTTGTTGTTGGAGCTAAAAACCTTAAATCTTTGAAAATTATTCATTGTTTGGGTGATTGGGACAGAATCCTTCAATTACTTGGGAATCAAGATCGATACCGAAAAGAAAATCTATATGTTAATAACAATGAAAGCAATGGTAACAGTAATCCTTTGATGGAAATTCACCTTGAGAGGCTTCAAGTAAGTGATATAGGCCTATCTGCTATTTCCAAATGCACCAAAATTGAGAATTTGCATATTCCGGACTGTTCGAATTATGGGCTTGTTTGTATAGCTGAGCATTGTAAGTTGTTAAAGAAGCTTCATGTTGATGGATGGAGAACTAATAGAATTGGAGACGAGGGCTTGGCGGCTGTAGCCAAACACTGTCTTAATTTAGAAGAACTCGTTTTGGTTGGTGTTAATGCTACTTATTTAAGCTTGGAAGCCATTGCTTCTAATTGCTCGAAACTCGAGAGATTAGCACTTTGCGGAAGCGGGACTATCGGTAATACTGAGATTGCATACTTTGCAGCCAAATGTAAGGCTTTGAAGAAACTTTGCATCAAGGGATGTCCTATATCGGATATTGCCATTGAAGCCCTGGGCTCTGGTTGTCCCAGTTTGATGAAAATTAAGTTGAGGAAATGTAGAGGAGTGAGTTGCGAGGCCGGCGAATGGTTGCGCGATCAAAGGGAATCACTAGTGATCAATATGGATGCTTGTGAGGTAGATGGTGGTTTCGAGGCTAGTGTCAGCAACGGTGGAATTCTTGAAGTCGGGTTGGATTATCTGCAGGTGGTTGGCCAAGTAACCGGCGGAGATGCTTCGACGAGCAGCAATGGCAGGTTAGCATTGTTAAGGTCCAAGTTTGGGGTTTTTGCTAATAGGAATTTAGTGGCATGCACATTTAGAAGGTGGTCTAACGGTGATGATAGTTTCAGTAGCAACTTGTGAATGATCTTTTAAAGAGTTGGAAACAATACTCTTTTCTCTGATCATAATGCAACCTTGTAAGTTTGTGAGATGAATCATTTTTTAATGCATTATGTGTATTGTATCTCCCCTTTCTTTTCTGAAATTGGAAATTTTTTTTAGCAGTGTGTATTGTATTTTATCCCACTTTTAAATGCTACTTTGCCGTAGAGATTTCAAGAATGTTATATGTATGAAAATGAACGAAAAATAGTACTAATAAATTGGGAATATGAAGTCAACTACCAATTGATGTCCCGGAAGATGGCACGGTAGGTCCTTTAACAAGGTATTATAATGTTCTAAATGGAATAATTTTTTTTATTAATTTGAGGTAATTACAAGGTAATATTAATTTTCTTAGTTAATTGATAACAAACTTATACACATCTTGTTAGGCCTGTAAACGAATCGAACCAACACGATTGATAGTATGTTCATGTTCGTTTGCTTAACTTAACTGAACAACGAATGAACGGACTAACTAAACGAATAAAATTTCTTGTTCGTGTTCGTTTGTTAAGGAATATAATTTGTTCGTGTCCGTTCGTTAAAATGAAAACATAAAATTAATTGAGTTTATATTTGAGAAGAATTTTATTATTTCTAAAGAATTTTAGGGTTTATATTTCTTTAATTGATTTGGATGTTTTTTAAGGCGTGTTTGGTTCAAGGATGGGAATCCCCATTCCCATGTTCAGTTAGCCGGGAATCTCATTCCCGGTAATATTTTATTACCAATAGTAGATTTTTTGGGGTGTATTACCAGGAATGTCATTACCTCACTTCCCTTAGGTATTGTAACATTACCAGCGTTTTTGACTAAAATGCCCTTAAATTTTTATTTTTTTTCAAAATATCATTCTTCTGTCATTGAATAATAAAAATTCTACGAATGTTAAATTACAAATTTATCCTTCAATTATTTTAGATTTACAAAAAATATATATAATTAAAATTTATATGAAGTTCAGGGGTTAAAATTTTTTTACCCTTCATTAAACCTTTTTATATTTTTAATTTTGTAAAAAAATTATATAAATATTATGAATTTAATTTTTTAAAGAAAATATATAAATATTTTACAACTTGTAATATTATACAAATATATAATAAGGACAATTTGGTTAATATACATTCTAATAATCTTTTATTCCTTTAACCAACACGGTAATCTTACATTCCTGCTAAACCAACCAAACACAAAATACAAATTCCCAGCAATCCTATTCCCTGGTAATCTTTTATTCCCACTTGTAATCTTACATTTTGTGAACCAAACGCACCCTTGGAGTTTAAAATTAATTGGGTTTAAAAATATTAATGGGTTTAAGCTAAAATTTATCATGTCTTAATATTTTAAATAGGTCTAGAGATTGGGTTGAATATGAACGACAGAACATAAACGACGAACATAAAAGAACAGACTATCGAACGTTCACGAACGTAAATGAAAGAACAAACATTTTGTTCTTTCATTCATTCAATCAAACGAACATAAATATTGTTCATATTTGTTTAAACAAATATAAATGAACTTCTCGCCGAATGATTCACGAACTTTTCGTTGAACATTCGGTTTGTTTACAAACATCCATCATTTAAATATAATTGTTCGAATCTAGAACTTTTAGGCCATATAACCGCCTTTAGATCGGATGGATTTCATTCTTACCAACTTTACAGAGACCTCAATTGCTAAAGTATGATACAGTTTAGTTATGCTAAATACTTACCAAAACCCTAAAGAGTCTCTACTAATATAATTCCAGTGAGTTCAATGCACAAGTAGATAAAACAGGATAGTTCTAAGGAAAATTTATTTGATAAAAGTCTGTTTATTTTTGGTTGAGGGACCTTATTTAGGGTTTAAGGTATATATGATTTAAAATGTAAGGTCTAAGTTTAGAATTTAGAATTTAGAATTTTATGAATTAAGGTTTATGATTTAGAATTAAAATATACAAGTCGTGTAGCCTATGTATTAAACAACCACCCTAGGATAGTTTATATGTTTTAATTTATTAAATTAAGTATCTATATATATTTTAGTTTAAAATTTTACTCTCCTTTAATTTCTATCTTTAATCGTCATTTGGCAGTTGTAAAAAGAGAAAAATATTCTCTTAGTTACTTTTATTTATTTATTTATCTATCTATCAATTTGGTCCTTAAAAATGATTTAAAAAATATTCTCTATTTATTTATTTATCAATTTAATCTCTATTATTTATTTATTTAAGCTTCATCAGTGCATTTGCAGACATTATGAAGTCAAATGTACAATCAGAGAATGGAAAGTTCAACCTCAAACTCCTACATAACGAAGTTTGTTTGTACTTTGCTAACTAAATGTTCGCCGTAAACAGCTTTTTCGAGCTTCCGAGTTCCGCCACTCTTCTGTACACAGACTTCCAAAGGTTCCACTGCTGCATCGTAATTTGGCTGTGTAACACCCCCAACCCGTATTCGATCCGGATACGAATTTGAGGTGTCACATTGACCAGTCAAAGCATGTTCTTTTATAAAAACCATAGAAAATTTAAAATTTCTTTTCTATAAAGTTAATATTTTACATAAACAAGTTTAAAACATTATCAAACTCCATCAGTGCGTTCATTCATAATAACTTGGTTTACATGCCAACATACTAATTTACTAACAGAACATACTTTACAAATATTTCTGATCTGAACTTTGAGCGGAGATATGCTGCTCTACTGATTCGAAGCTTGATCTTCTGACTTATCTACACCTACGTGTAAGACACTTACACACTAAGTCATAGACTTAGTGAGACATGAAAACCATGTAATATTACTCTACTCATGTCAATGCATAAACAATTAATATTATCATATCATATAAAAAGCATATATCATTTCATATGACCAATACACACATATACATATATTATTAACATGCTTATCATTACTATTTTATTATCATTAATTCCTTTTTATCATATAATCATATACTTAACATAAACATATTATATAATCTCTAAATCACCTCAATCCATGAATAATTACTATGATCATATCATACACAAACACATTGCATCTCATATCACAATTATACATATGCACTTATTATCCTATGATCCTAACTTATCACTTATACATGTCATATATCACATATACCATTTCATGAGAAACACACATATCATCATATCAAATTATTTATTCTTTTTAAAGCCCATGCACACTTCTGAGAACTTAAGGTATGTGAGTACATATAGGTTGTGCACTATGCTGTCACCACATCTCGTATAATTCCTACTAGGGGCATGTAGAATGTCCCGTAGGACCACTATGTCCTGAAGGACCACTTATAACACATATCACATATGTCGGGAAGGACCACGTAGAACCCTCGACTCTTGGCATGCCAACTATACCCCTAGCTCTCATACATATACATGGACATTATAATTATATTATCACATTTTCACATATTCATATCATATACACATATAAACTCAAGGCTTCTTATCACATATATCATGTAATACTCACTTGGAGTTCATATCTTCTTTCACCTATCACATAGCTTTTTACTTTTACTTGTATTCTTTTCCACATATTTCATAGTCATGATTCTTATATCATAACGTATATTCACAAATATACATGTTCTCATACAACCCCTTCATTCAATTATAACATTTAATCTAGCTTATTACACTAACATGTATTCACATCACTCATTTAATATACATAGCATATCATGTACTTCTAATAAAAGCACATATGAGTCATATCACTTTCACATATATTTTATCCTATATCTTATCTATTATTATCACATAACCTATTAACACACATACATGCATCTACATAGTTCACATATAAAGATGCATTCGACAATTAGACATATGCGTTTACTCATATACCAATACATCTATCACCATATCATTCATGTTTATGCTTAAATACTCAATCACATAATATCGAAATTAGACTCATCGCAAGTCTTAATTCCCTAATATAACGTACACTTAATATCATGTACTCACCTGGTCACAATGAACACTACCAAGTTCTGTTCTTTCTTGCGAATCTTACTCTGACGACTTATCCGAACTTTACTTTCGATCGATGTCTACACAATCATGTATTGATACTTATCAGTATCCAATTGATATACTTTAATCTATTATTCTTAGACTAAAAGAAATATCCATTTCTATTTTCCCCTTAGAAGTGTATCGATACACACTATATGTACCTTCGATATTTTGAGGGTATCGATACACTCCTCAATATACCGATACACACTCATACTAATACACATGTTCAACTCATGAGGTATCGCTACACTCCTTAGTGTACCGATACACTAGGCCCTGAATGGCCATTTTCAAACCCCTGAATGGCCATTTCACCCAAAATTTAACACTTTACCCCTAAATTTTACTGTAAGACCTTCTTATGCCTTAAAACTTATCTATACATATTTAAACCTTCTTATAACCCTATAACACTTCACTAATTCCATAACTAACCATAATTATCGAATCAAAGATTTTAATCAAATTTTCCATGTGTTCTAAATTCATTTCTATCACCTCTAACTCCTTAATTATACCATTGACAAGTCAAATTCATCAATAAAACTTCAAAAACCTCTTTACATCAAGAATTCATTTCTAAACCCTTAATCAATTTTCCTCTCTAATTCTCTTTTCTTAATGTTTTAAGCTTATATAAGTTTTCCTTAAGCTTATATAACCCACAAAGACTCAAAACCAATTTAAAAATTCAAGAAATCACCAGCTAAAATCAAACTTACCTTTAAAATGGAAGCCAACGTGAAGAAGGAAGAAGAAGAAGAAATAAGTTTTCTAGATAACTCTCCCATCCCCACGTGTTATCTCCCTAAATAAGGGAGATAAAAATATCCTCCAAGCTAAATTAACATAATACCCTTATAATCCTTTCATATTTACCCTTTTATCCAATATTGAAATATTTCTATTTAAATCCTTGAACTTTTCAATTTTCCTAAATTGATCCCAAATTTCAAAAATTCTCATTCTAGTCACTGACTCGGATTTCAAGATGTTACAGGCTGCTCGGGAAAACATGAATATTCAGGACAAAACCGAAAAAAGATAGGAGGGAACTTGTAATTTGTAAATATTAACCTCGTAAAAGTATGCGACACAGAAGCGATATGTCGGAGATGTGTTGATAACTCGGTGAAGTGTTGAGTCGTATAAACCATTGGATAGTATCTGCGGTTACACCCAACATTTTAGCAGGATATAATAAGAAAAATGGAACTACAGACATTTGAAACCACTCTTAGCGTTGTGTTAATGTACCTTCAACATATCACCAATGTTGCATACAAATGTTCCGGGAACCGGATGAGCTGAGATCCACTCACAAGATCGGTTTCTCACCTGCATAACTTGTTTAGATAAGCTGTCATTGAAAGTTAAAGCGGTGGGATTTAAAACTGCAATATAATAGAAAACATAGACTAGGTGAAAACCGGAAGCCGGAAGTTGAGAAAATGTGAATCCATCCACCATGAACTATTGGGTATCGAGAAAGAAAGGAATAACCCCAAGACAATAAAAGGTTCTCAGTTCTCACATTTGATGGGTTATTTTCTTAGATAAAATTAATAATTTCTACAAACGTTAGAGAAACTAAATAATCCAAAGAAAAAAACTTTAAACACTAAACTGAAAAACAAGTCATTATTAACGGTAAATAGATCAGTCATTATTAACGGCAAATAGATCAGTCATTATTAACGGCAAATGATCTATAAGCCATCTAGAAATAAGGAAGGAGAAAAGCAAAGAGAAAGCTAAAAACTTCAACCCGAAAGAGATATGACTTATTCATTTCATTTCGTTAGCCATTATTGATATAAAAACCTGCCCAACAAGAGACAATATCCCTTAACTCAAACAATCCACCTCTCCCCTTCATAGCTTCTAGCTTTAGCTAACTCTTAAACCCAACCCCTTCATTCATTTATTTTTAGCTTTATGTACAGAAAGAGGAAGTAAGAGCTTTTTAGCTCCCTCTCACTTTGTATTCTTTCGTCTTCTTTTTTGGCTATTGAGAAGATGGTGGTGATCATGATTGTTTTTGTCTTGAATTATGTATCGTTTTGGTTGAGAGAATTTGAAAAAAAGGATGTGGGATCTTAATGACTGTCCTTATAAGCCAAGGGCGATGAATCCGAAGGATGTTCATGGCGGAAAACATCCAACGACGGAGATGAAAACATGGGTAAACGAGTCGGATGTCGAATTCGAGCTCTCAGCTGTGGTGCGAGGATGATCCGGAGAAGAAGAGTGTGAAGAATTAAAACAACTTTGAACATGAATCAAGATTTTGGTTCTCGATGCTCATCGTGAAGAAGAAGAAGAGGAGGAGGAGGAGGAGTTCATGGAAAGCGGTGATCCACTCCGGTAACCCGGCAGTTGTTCCACTCGAAGAAGTAGACTCGGAAATGGAGAGCGCCACTTCGGGCGGAACCGAACCGGGTTTCCCTGGGGCTCACTGGGTGGGTGTCAATTCTGTCAACCGGAGACCCATATCTCAGGCGGAAAAATCCTTGAATCTTCACGGCCGATGAAGAAAGCCGGCGAGGACCGAGGTCGAGAAGCTCTCAGTATCGAGGCGTTACCTTTTATAGAAGAACCGGCCGATGGGAGTCTCATATTTGGTTAGTTTCTGATTATTTTCTCATTTTTTTATACAAAGAATTTAAGGTTGTTTTTCTGTTTCGTCATTACAGGGATTGTGGAAAACAAATTTATCTAGGTATGAATGACTATAACTTTTATTTAATTTTCAGACAATTTTTTTTTATATTTTTCAAAAATTATTATTAATTATTTTTATTTTCTGATGGAACAGGTGGATTCGACGCAGCACATGCAGCATTCGGTAAAAAAAAACATTGCAAAATAATAAAAGAAAATAGTATTAAACAAGTTTTTATTTATTTATAAATATTTGCCCTTTTTCTAATTTCTTTTCAGAGCACATAGAGCAGCTATAAAGTTTCGGGGAGCTGAAGCCGACATAATTTTAGTATTAGAGATTATGAGGAAGACATAAAACGAGAATTTCTGAAAGTAAACTCGTAAGCCATGTTAGAGGTTTAAGTTATGAATACTGTAAATTATGTTGGAAGAGGTTGTCCTTATAATAAATCTATATAGTATTCGATTCAGTTTAATCGATTGATAAATCAAATACAAATAAATACAATATTATGGTTGTTGTTGTTGTATAACAGATGAAAAATCTAACAAAGGAAGAATTTGTGCACGTACTTCGCCAACGGAGAACTGGATTTCCTAGAGGAAGCTCCAAATACAGAGGAGTCACCTTGCACAAATGTGGAAGATGGGAAGCTAGATTCGGCCAATTTATAGGCAAAAAGTACATTATACGAACTCGGAATTATTAGATATCAAACGAGTTCTTCTTTCTTTATCCATAAGGTTTAATTTTCTTTTAGAGGTACGTCTACTTAGGCTTGTTCGACGCAGAGATCGAAGCAGCAAGGTGTGTGCTTTTACATTCTGTGGTCTTGTTTTAGTTTTGATTTTTAAAATTTTGGTCCCTTATTTTTTTGCAGGGCTTACGACAAAGCTGCGATTAAGTACAATGGCAAAGATGCCGTCACCAACTTTGATCCCAGCATTTACGACAATGAGCTCAACAAAGGTGGTCGATAAATTTTGCCCATTCTTCATATTCCTTTTTCAGAGTTTCCATAACTTCTCGAGTATTATTGTTGTTTAGAGACTCCTGGCAATGGTGGAGATCACAATCTTGATTGAGCCTGGGGAATTCGATCCCGAACCCAAATTTCGTCCTCCACACGTTGTCAATACATCAACTTATCCGGTTTGTGTTTAATTATAAGAGAATTTAAAATTTTCAGAAACGAAAAAGTTGACAACTCGCATTAATAAATTTCAGCTAAATGAACTTTGTGTAAATATTTTAGAATCAATTTGCAGGCAACGGCGACAGAGTTCGAATTGGGAGCGATCTTTCGCTTTCGACGATGCTCAACAACGGCAACCGGGTCCTTGCAGATGGATTGCAACACAGCGGCATCATCAGGATTCCATCGCAGATTAAACCAACTCACCGAACATGGCAGCTGAGAAATGGGGTTCATTCGTTCACGAGACCCTTCCGGTATATCTAAAATAGTTATAGATCTTCGTTAATTAAAACCTCTTTTAGTCATAGACGAAATGTCGAACTTTAGGCTACTTGCCATTTTTTATATTGTTTTACCTTCCTTTCAATGCTTTAGCTTCTATTTTATGTTATGGGTAAAATACACAAATTACATTCCCAAATAAGACATTATTTTATTGTTTACTAATTAAAAAAAAGTTAAAAATTAGTGTCATGATTATAAGATGTTGTTTTGTTAGGTCATTCGACATTAAAAGATACAAAAAATCACTCATTTTTTCGTATGTTATAAATTAACTAGTTCTTTCTTATTAAAAGATTGACAAAAGTCTAAGCTAGACATTTGTTTGTAATTCTGGCATATTCCAGTTATACGCCCGTGGCATTTTCTTTTCTTCGGGGACTTTTTCTTCTTCTTTTTCTTCTTCAGGATTATATGAATTACAGAATGGATGTTCAACATGTTCATCACAGTCGTAACTTCCTCCTCATTATCATCAACATTACATTCTTCGGCAACGGCTGTTTCATCATCAAAATTCGGGTATTGACCAATATCAATATCATTACACGCATGGTCTGTTTCTTCTTCTGAAACATCATCAAATCCGTGTATTGACCAATATCAAAGTCCGGATATTGACCAAGACCAAATTTCGAATACTGACTAGTACTCACAATTTTTTCTGTTGGCTCATCGTCTAACTGGTCAATACGAAAACCGGAATTTGGTGCTGAAAGTTGATTGGGATTTGGATTAGAGAAAGGTTGTGGGTTTTGAGAAAAACTTAGTTGATTACTACCCGCTACTGACCCAACAATACTACTTCTAGGTTCAACACATACAATGTAACATCATCTTGTGAAACACTAATGTAAGCAATGAATCGTTCAACATCTTCATTGTCGGTTAACAAATAAACTTTACCATTTCTCTGATAGATAGCCTAAATCCACTTAGGGGCTCTAAATTCAATTTATTTGAAACACGTAGCATTAGAGTTTCATAAGTTAACTTTTGTAAAGACAATTTTAGTTGAAGATTCATGGGTAAAGGCATATTTGTAAAACACCATGAACATTATCCCATGACCCTCCAAAACACAAATCTATCCAAACATGATCAACATTAGATGATTCATGGTTGTAAATTAATTTACTAACAGACGAGCTGCGAAACTAAACTGTTGCCGATTGGGAAGGATGTCGTTGGATATAGGAAGGATGTCGCCGGAGAGAGTGATAGATGGAGATGGAATGAGTTGCGATTTAGGGATTTAGTTTATGATTTCAGTGTTATATACCCAAAATTTAAGTGTTGTGATTTACAGATTCTCGTTGCGATTTACGGATTATCGTTGCGATTTACAGATTCTCGTTGCGATTACGGATTATCGTTTGCGATTTACGGATACGCGTTGCGATTTACGGATTATCGTTGCGATTTACGGATACGCGTTGCGATTTACGGATACGCATTGCGATTTACGATACGCGTTGCGATTTACGGATACACGTTGCAGTTTACGGATACGCGTTGCGATTTACGGATACGCGTTGCGATATACGGATACGCATTGCGATTTACCCATACGCGTTTGCGATTTACGGATACACGTTGCGATTTACGGATACGCGTTGCGATTTATGTGTTCGCGTTGCGATTTTCATTCGCGTTGCGATTATGGAAAATCGCAATGCGAATTTGTACTATCGCATCGCGATTTTCAAGAATCGCGTTGCGATTTTGGAAACTGATTTGCGATTCTGGGGATCGCGTTGCGTTTTTATTTTCGCGTTGCGATTTTGTGGTCATTTTGGGCAAATCCAAAAAAGTTGGTTAAAATCGTATATTTAACTTTTTTTTGGTCACTGAGGCGATTCTCTCTTATTAATATATGTGTGTTCATCCTAAAAAAATATTTCTATATTCATCATTGTCAGTATACATAATTAAAATATAATTTTATTATATCTTAATCAATAAGTTAACATCTAACTTAGAATACCATCAATTTTTTTAACAGAAACATATGAGTTTATAACACATAAATAGTTGATGACAATTTTATAATTTTTAATAGTTAGGAGAGGATTTCCTAACTTTTTATAATCGAATGACTCAATAAAATATTATCTTTAATAAGAGAGCAATATATATTTTACCCTTATATTATTCGGATTTGGAATTTAAAAGAACGATGAACAGTGAAATAAACTAAAGAGAAGTAAATTTTTTTTTGAAGAAAAGAGTGAACCGACAGAAGATTTGGGAAAATGACCTAAAAATATTGGAAATATGAACGGTCACACCATTTGATATCGATCTAAAAATGTTGGAAGTTTAGATAGTCACACCATTTTATTATTTTTGTCGAACCAAAATCAATCAGTAGGATGGGCTATAATTGCGAGTGAGACTTCTTATATTCATCATTGCTTTCAAAAAAATATTTAATCATTATATTTATAATATAAAATTCGTTCATTTTATATATATTTAAAATCAAATAAATAAAAAAACGATCGACATTAATTGCACAAATAACTTAAATCAAGCATTTGGCATTTAAACTCTTTTTTACCCAATAACTACGAGCTAGATTATGCAATAACTTGATTAATTTTTTTGGAATAAAAGAAAAAAACTTGAAAATAAAAATATCTTATTTTCATCCTTATTTTAATATTTACAGCAACCTAGGAAAAAAAAGGGGGGAAAAAAACTCTGACCGATATAGCTTTTGCTAGGATCTACAGTACGTAATTCAAACCGGAGTGCCACGTTTCTTTCCCACCAAAATTTTATTTTATCTTTTGTCCAATTAAAATTAGGAAATTAAAATAGAAAAAAAGGAAATTAAAATAGGAAAAAAGGACCCTACGAGACCACGAGAGAGGGAAAGAGATTTATTACAATTAGGGTTTGAAGATCGACCCGCCAAATCTTCTCCGCCAGAAAGACCTAGTTTTTCTTGTTTTGCTCCTCCTTTTCCGGCATTGTCTTCTTATGAATCGGATCCCGATCCGGATCTTCCAACCTACTTTTTCGGACTCTATCCGGTTCTCTTTCCGACTATGGCAGCGAAACCTTGCCATCTAATTCGCCGGATAGATCGGAACCTCTTAAGGATTCCTCGGTAACTCTCGCACTTCTCGATTTCGCTTCTTCTCTCTGACATGAGTCAAACGAATAATTTATTTTAGTTATGATTCCCATTTGAACTTTTATTTTTTTGGTTTTGTCTCGATTTTGGAATTTTGATTGTAGGAGCTGGCAGCATTTTGTTTCAGTTTGGCTTATCTTATGGATTATTACGTCATTTAAATTTAGCGTACAATTGACAATTTATAAGCTGAAAATGTGACTAAGCTATATTCATTTTAGTCTTTGCTTTTGAGGTCAATTTGTTCTTATTTTCATTTTGTTTTGTTAATTTTGAAAGTACTTGTTCAACATTCTTTTGGTGCATATAACATATTTCTCTTATGAATTTTGTATACTTGATAATAACTAATAAGCCTGGATTGTGTTTTTCACTTTTACACAGATGACACAAGTAGAAGAAAAAACCGTGAGTTCTAAGGAGATATTATCATAATCGATTCATTAAAGAAGCAAGTTTCAGCTGATCGATCTCTTTCTGTAAAGGTGAATTCCTGGCTGATTATTTGGCAGCTTAAATGAAGGTCAAACATACTAATCTATTTCAGTTCATTTATTTCCAGAAAAGGCTGGAAGAAAACAAGAAAAAATTAGGTGGTATAACAAGCCGTCTTTATAAATTGTCAAATGAACGAAGAAGCGATTGGATTGGTGATACCGATAGTGCTTCTGATCTATTGACAAAGAGGCAAAAAGATGCTATTGGTATGCAAAATGGCATTGACATAAGTGATGGGGATAAAGATGGTTATAGCTATCAAGAACCTTCTACAGCAGTCTTATGGGGTCTAGTATTCCTGTTAAGAATGCTGTTCGTCCTATTAAGCTTACAGAAGTGAAAAAGCTGCCACCTTATACGACATGGATATTTCTAGACAGGTTGTGAGCTTAACTAGAATTTTCTAATTTTCTAATATTATCTTATGCTCTTTCTTTATTATATATAGAGTGCTAGTCAAAAAGAGAGTTTCAATCACGTTTCTAGGATAATTATTGTGTTTATCCATTTAGAAAATTAATAGGAGAAGTTAAAGGATATGCTATTAAGTACTAAAATGCCCCTCCCCCTTTTAATTCTATGAAAGGATAAACTAAATTCATTTATTTTCCGTAGAAATCAAAGAATGACAGAGGATCAATCAGTGGTGGGTCGAAGGAGAATATACTATGATCAAATGGTGGTGAAGCACTTATCTGCAGTGACAGTGAGGAGGAAATAATTGAGGAAGATGAAGAAAAAAAAAGATTTTGTTGAATCTGAAGACTTCATTCTCGGTTGGTGTAGTCATATTATCTTTGTGATCATCATGTTATGTTCTCTTTGTTTTATTTTTCTATCTCTCTACTATTCAGTTTGCCTAGATTTGTGAATGTTCTTCTGCTTTAGGAGTTCTTTGCACCTTTTGAATGTTTGATCGCAGAATTGCTGCTATTTACTTCATATCCCTATAAGCTATCTTTGCATGATGTTTCA